TTGTTAGAGATAAAATATAAAGTATAATTCATTAAGTACCATTCCTGTTACATCGTTAGTACTGGTTACTATTATTAACATTTTATTTTAAAGGTTTTTTTTCTTTGTTTGTTTTTTTGAAAGAGGGAGAGCAAGAGCAGGGGTGGGGCAGGGAGAGAGGGAGAGATAGAATCCCAAGCAGGCTCATGCTCTGTGTGGAGCCTCATGCGGGGCTTGAACTCATGAACCACAAGATCATGACCGGAGCCAAAACCAAGAGTCAGATGCTTAACTGACTGAACTACCCACGCGCCCTATTGTTAACATATTTTAGAAAAAAAAATTCTCATAATGACAGATATTCAGAAGTAAATTTTGAATACCATATACTAGAATGTCACACAATGGTCTTTTGGAAGGAATTTCTGTTTCCTTTTAAGCACCTGATTACTTAAGTGAAAGCACACACCACAACAAAATGTATGTAAGTGTAACTAGCCGATTGCTTCAGGGTTTATGTACACTCCTTCTCACTGGATCCATGGTGATACTTAGGACCATGAATAGCTGGAGAAAAGTTTCTCTTGGCACCTGTCTGGTTCTCTTCTGATGTCCCTGGTTACATATTACACTGTAATCTGCTTTGGAACCTCACAGTTACATCTGTAATTGTCCCATGTGGACTGAGCTGCTCCACATACAAGCTCTCCAAGGAGAGGAGCAGAAACCGGTGTTTCCCATGTTAGCCCTGTGCTGGACATGACCTGTAGTTCTCACAACTCTGTGGGTTAGGTAATTATTTCTTCTTTAATTTTATGTGGGTTACTATTTTTGAATGAAAAATCATCAGAGTTTTTATTTGTTTATTTTTGAGAGAGAGAGAGCATGTGTGTATAAGCAGGAGAGGGCCTGGGGGGGATGGTGGTGGGGAGAGAAAGAGAGAGAGACAAAGAGAGAGAGAGAGAGAGAGAGAGAGAGAGAGAGAGAGAGAGAAGAGAGAGAATCTTAAGTAGGCTCCACACCCAGCACAGAGAATCTTAAGTAGGCTCCACACCCAGCACGGAGCCCGACGAGGGGCTCCATCCCATGAACTATGAGATCATGATTTGAGCTGAAATCAAGAGGTGTCCACTTAACTAACTGAGCCATCCAGGAACTCCAAAAAAACATCAGTTTTTAAAATGAGTGTACTTATTCAGTCAATGGAAAAGAAAAATACAGTTAATCTGGCCTGTCTTGGAAATTCAGGTACATGGTTACTATAATTATGGTGTCATAATGTGGTATATAATAGAGATATGATTTCTGGAGGATTAATCTGGTACATTGATCTACAAATCTGCTGATGAAATTCAAATATTTTTTTGTAAATGTATGTGTGAGTATAGTTTCTGTATGAAAAAAACAGGGTGAACAAGGTTGCCCTGTTTTGATGGTTGCAGAAAGAAACATATAGCCACACATAAATCATTTGTGTATGAACCAGTTCAGTAGGAAGTCACTGTGTGCAGCTGCTTGACCCAAACATCTTATTTCCAATCTCTTTACAAGAAGTTTTAACACAAGTCCGTGGAAGGAATAACTTAAATCCCTAATATTACTTCAGTTAGCAAAGCATTAAAATTCCAAACTGTTTCAGTTGGTTAGGGCCTATCCTTACAAAAATTGAGCCATAGTCCTCTGTCATCTATCCTTATATTATCATCCATGATTTTAAAATATACTTTATATATTTACATATAGTACTTTATAATCCTTTAATTCCATTTAATGTACAGTAATTATTTCCAAATTAAGGAAATGCTACATATAAAGTTACAAAACTAACATAAAATAGTAATTTTTATTCACATAAAGAAGGTGATCCTTTACTCTTTTATGTCAGTGTCATTTAATTACGAAAGTAATACTGTTTCATAAAAACTCAAACAATACATTTAAAGTGTGAAGTAGAGTCCTTTCTCGAAAACCTCTTTGCCTCAGAGGGTGACCACTGCTTATAGTTTAAGTGTGACATTTCAGACCTTTTTCTGTGCCCCTGCAAACACACAGAAGTATCTTGTTTTTGTTTTTAAATTTATTTTTTTTAATTTACATCCAAGTTAGTTAGCATACAGTGCAACAATGATTTCAGGAGTAGGTTCCTTAATGCCTCTTACCCACTCAGCGCATCCCCCCTCCCACAATCCCTCCGGTAACTCTCTATTTTGTTCTCCATATTTAAGAGTCTCTTATGTTTTGTCCCCCTACCTGTTTTTTTTTTTTTTTCATTACCTTTGCTTCCCTTATGTTCATCTGTTTTGTACACACAGATGTATCTTGTAAAGAGTGACTTTAACATTCTTGAGGAATTAGGAGCATTGCTGTTTGAAAAAAAAGTTTGGTGATGTTAGTCATTATGTTAAAAGGAGTCATTTTCACAAATACTGGCAGATCGTTCTGTTGTAGCCCAGCTTTCCAACTTTGAAAGAGCAGTATTTTATAGCAGGTGTATAGTCAAGGGCATTTAGTAAAATGTTTTACCTTTGATTTTCTGTACTTGCAGTTATGAAAAGTAAAATAATCAGGGAAGATGGGGAAAAGCCCATATCAATTAAAGTAATAAAACTGAGTTAATCCCACATCAACAATTTAAATCCCTTTAAAATTACTTGTTGCAGTCAAGAAACAATCCCCCTGTCTTCTTCTTTTTTTTTTTTTTTTTTTTTTTTTTTTTTTTTTTTTTTTTTTTTTTTTTTTTTAGCATATTAGTAGTGGAATTTCTTAGGTTACTCTTTAAGCCTTATGTATATAGTGTTCTCAAGTTGTTAATGAAGATTTCCTGTTGTGAGGAAAAACTAGCACTTACTTGGTGTTTGATAATATAAACCACAGTGGTTATGGGGGCAGAGTGAGGTCTGTTAATGGCCAGTTGTATCTTGATGCTAATTTGTTCTGTTCCCAGGCTCTTTCTGCCCTAATATGCTTGTCACTTGAAGAAATATCCACAGAGGATAGGTATTGAACATGAGTTGTCATGTTTCCTTCATGTAAAACTTTCTGCTCAAATGAAAATGTCAAAATAATACAATAGCCAACTATGGAAACAGCCCAAATGTCCATTGACTGATGAATGGTTAAAGATGTGGTGTATGTATATGGTGGCATGCATATATATACACACACATATTATAAATATGTAAAATATATTTTTAAATCATATATACACACACATGCACACACACACACACACAATGGAATATTGCTCAGCCATAAAAAGGAATGAAATCTTATCATTTGTGACGATGTGGATGGAGCTAGAGAGTATTATGCTAAGTGAAATAAGTTAGAGAAAGACAAATTCCGTATGATTTCGGTCATATGTGAAAATTAAGAAACAAAGGAGAGAGGCAAATCAAGAAACAGATTCTTAACTATAGAGGACAAACTGATGGTTACCAGAGGGGTCAGTGGGTGGGGAGGAGGGGTGAAATAGGTGATGGGGATTGAAGAGTGCACTTGTGATGAGCACCAACTATTGTACAGAAGTGTTGAGTCACTGTATTGTACACCTGAAACTAATATTATACTGTATGTTAACTGGAATTTAAACGAAAACTTTAAAAAAATAAAACACTTGTGTTAAGCAAAAAAAAAAATAAATAAAGTGCAGTTAAGTAAAATACGTAAGCAAAGGTGAACCTCAAATCCTTTGTAAAGGAAGGTAATGTAGAATGCAGGTGCATAAAAAAACCTAAGTGTTCTGTTGTTGTTGCTCTTGTTTTGTTTTGTTTTAGTGTAGCTGACACACAGTGCTACATTTGACACACAGTGCTACACAGGCATGCAACTTAGTAATTTTACAAGTTTATACATCATGCTATGTTCTCCACAAGTGTGGCTGCCTTCCATTACATGTCTATTACAGTATCATTGACTGTGTTCCTTACGCTCTGCTTTTTATTCCCGTGACTTACCTCATTCTCTAACTGGAGGCCTGTACCTCCCTCCCTCTCACTTTGCTCAACACCTCCACTCCCCTTCTTTCTGGCAACATTCGGAAAACACCTAAGATTTAATTTGAGGTAATAGCTGTGAATGGTAACATTAATATCATTTTCATAGGAATAGTTTAATCATATATCTTCAGATTTTTTTAACCTCCTAAAAATTTTAAGTATGAATTTGCCACCATTTGAATAACTTTTTTTTCCCCCGAAGATAATTTCCTACAGGATTCTTCTGTGGTTGGGATTTTACATTTTTGAACCAGAGCTCTAGCTTCATGGAGTTCATTGTCTCTCAGGAGAGACAGATAATTAGGCAACTTGCTGATCTTTCTGAGTTCAGTTCTGCGAGAGCTCAGGGCAGAAGCCCCTCTCTTATCAGTGGTGCAGGGTTGGGGAAGTGCCACCAAGGAAGGCTTCCCAGCAGAGGCGACTCCTAACATGATATCTGAGAGATGTGCACACATCAGTCAGGCAGAGAGTGATGGGCTTGGGCAGTGACTTGGGCAGGGGACCATCAGCATCTACAGAAGCCTAGCCATGAGAGAATGCAGGCACAGCTAAGTAACTGGTAGATGTTCAGTGTGGCTGTGTAGAATAATTACAAACATAGATTATGAACATAATGCATGTCCATTGCATACACAACTTGAAAAACACAGGAAACAAGAAAAAACATATACCATCACTAATTTAAAGCCGCAGAGTTTCCTGTGAACATTTCATTATGATTTTGTCATGACTTACACTTGTATTTGTAGGACAGTGTGTTTGGTATAATCCCAATTAGACTTAAGCAGTAGAGGTATGTGTAGGCATAAATTCAAATGCCTGTAGATGAAAACATTTTAAGTAAAATTGGGATCGAGCCCAACATGCTGTTTGTTACTTTATTTTTTAACTTTTTTTTTACATTAAAATATACTTAATTATTTTAATGCCCTTGGATAAAAGCGTATTCTAAATGAAAACATTTCATCTCTGTGAATAAAAGAGAATATTCTTGAAGTTAACTATCTGTGTTCTTCTCTGCAGGAAGAATGTTTCCTGAACCTAGAGGCTCCTATATCAAGAGTATGTGGGTATGACACACCATTTCCTCACATTTTTGAGCCATTCTACATCCCAGACAAATGGAAGTGCTATGATGCCCTCCGAAAAATGATCAACTATTAACCATATTGGTAAGTCTGCCCTGCATTTTGAGAAAGCTAGCATGCCACTCTCATGAATGTACCATTTTTACGAAATTTTTTAAAGTTTATTTATTTTTGAGAGAAAGAGACAGAACACGAATGGGGGAGGGGCAGAGAGAGAGGGAGATACAGAATCCGAAGCAGGCTCCAGGCTCCGAGCTGTCAGCACAGAGCCCGACATGGGGCTTGAACCCACGAACCCTGAGATCATGACCTGAGCCAAAGTCGGACGCTTAACTACCTGAGCCACCCAGGGGCCCCACCCATGAATGTACTATTAACCAATGGCAATGGTCATCAATGTGTTGGCAATTTCTAAAACAAAATGTGGACTTAAGAAAAAAGTTCACATTCATAGTGGTATATTTACATTGAATAGAAACACATCGATTATTATTATCTGATGTATTATCGGATATCTATAAAACAGATGTGTGCACATATTAACATTGAGGAATCAATAAAGAGGAAGGTGCATATGCTCTGTGCCATGGTTGGATTGCAAATACACCTTACTCCACTGTTCCAGGTTTATCCTCATTTCTGTATATTTTTACCAGCTATTTAAATTGTTCATGCAGAGGGTTAATTTCTGTTATTTAAAAATGGGCCTTCAAGCACCATTAATGTGGACTCCAGTGAATTAAACTATATGATGATCCATAACATACAATTTGTATTATCTAAAAACAGGTTTGTTGAGCAGGAAACTTATTTATTGTGTATAGGGAAGTTTTACTTAAAAGAATCCAGAACCACCGCCATTTCCAGATTCCTTTCTGGCAAGTGAATGTTTTGGCTTTTTTAAAGTTTATTTATTTATTTTGAGGGGGGGGGGCGGGTAGAGAGAGAGGGAAAGAGAGAGAATCCCAAGCAGGCTCTGCACTGTCAGCACAGAGCCCAACACAGTGCTGCAACCCACGAACTGTGAGATCAGGACCTGAGCTGAAATCAAGAGTCTGACACTTAACCGACTGAGCCACCCAGGCTCCCCCAAGTGAATGTTTTTATTTCTTTTTTCTTTTAAAGTGAATGTTTTTAAATTGTGGATAATAAACTGATATTTATTCATTACGATTTTTCATGTCATGCTTACCCCTTTGGCAGTATTGTTCTAGCAAAAATGAATACCATTAAAAACCGTTTCGTTTTCAGGGCTTTAATATAGAAGTTACTATCACTGACACACTGCTTTATTTTATCTTGACATTTTTGAAATACATAGATAGGATTAAATTTTAGATTTAACATTTGAATATTAACATGTGATATTTACATTTTAATATCTATAAATAGTAATAACAATACATTTTGAAGAACCACCATCTTGCTAAGAAAAAAGGAGAATAGACTCTGTGTAGTAATGTAAGCACATATTTCTTCAAGATAAGAAATTCTGTAATTCTTGAATTCTGTGTTTGAGGAGTAAACCTAGCCCACCTAAAAGCAGAGAGATACCTTTAAATTTGTACACAGAGAGAAAAAAATCCGCCCCCCATCTGCCACTGTGATCCCCAATTTTTTGCAGTTCTATTTTGACAATGTTGCAGATGTAAATTTGGGCCATTAGTCCCAAACACCAGGAACATATCCCTGGTGTTCTTTCAGACAATAGTAGATCTGGTGTCCTCTGAATGTCTATGAAAGCCACTGGCTTCTACAGTAAGTCACACTTACGACTAGTTAGAGGAACGCCATCTTTGTTGTCCATCCTATACATTCCATGGACTATCTCTAATGGACAGTCAAGGTAATAACAATGTGTGGCCATAGTATGTAGGTGCTGATTTAAATTTGGATATATATTTCTTTTTAAACATAAAAAAATGTGTAAGCCTATCATGAAAACATGACAAAAGAAGAAATAGTTTTTCTGTGCTTAAAGCAAAATATGGCATTGAGGAAAATAGTCATGCAGTTAAGAAATCTGTTAGTTCGTGGTGGCCAGAATGTCTATAATTGTTATCGAATTTCTTTTACAGAAAAACTGGAAGATTGTGACTAGATACGGAAATATTTTTCTGAACATTTTTCTTTTTATTTCCTCAGACTTCTCTCTTCTTGAAAAGAGTTTTTATGAACTGAACCACCTTGGATATTGGCTGAAAATTTTAAATTAGTTATGGTATTAACACATATGAATCGATGATTTCCAGTAAGAGTGTCTCAGATTAACTTTTTTAAATGTTCCACTTGGTAGTCTTATCAATTCCATTTAATTACATCTGTAAATATTGGATTGGGATAATATTCAATAAAGCAAAATCAGATTGTCCTCAGGTCATGTGTCCTTTTTTTTTTTTTTTTCATTAGTTAAAAGAATTTTAGTCAGAGTAATAGATTATCTTGTCAATTAAATCTGAATGAAAGTGAAATGTTTAGAAATGCAGATTTTCAAGTTCATTATATTTATTATAGTTCTTTGTGGTTAAGATGGTTATATGTATGAAACTTGTGGAATATTTTTCCTCGTCCTTCTCTCTTGTCTCAACAAGATCCACTAATGGACATACTCACTTTTTCTCCAGAAGCTGGCAGGCGTGGCAGGATTATCCTTGCTGCCTCGCTTCCCAATTGTGGGAGCTGGACAGTATGAGCCTTTTTTTTGTTATAAAATTGCCAAGCTTTTGATACAGTTGGAATTTTTTTTTTTTTTTTTTTTTTTTTTTTTTTTTTTTTTTTTTTTTTTTTTTTTTTTGCCATGATGTTGCAAAGCAAATATCTTTTTCCATGCCCTTTCTATTATTATGTAGATGAAAGCAGAACAACATGAGCAACAACAAATGCTCTGGCAGAGGAAACCTCTGGGCTGGGGACATTGCCAGGGCCCCTCGTCTCTCACCCTGCCCTTCCTCATAGTTTGAGACAGGCCTGAACAGCCTCAGGAATCCCTTCGCTGAACACCTCATCTCTGCGGGCCCAGCCCTCACAGATGGTGCCGTGAGGTCTGTCACCCCTTCCGTAGATTCCAGAAAAGTTTGTTCTCCCCAGTTCCAGCAGAAAGATCCACCTCCCTACAAATCAGAGAAATAGGGTCATATAGCATTTTCTTTTCTCTATGAAGATAATGGATATTTTCTTATGATGACAAATGTTTATTTTACTTTAAAACTTTTTAAATTTTTAAAATTTAAGAAGTTGTGTTCTGTTCATTTTTATCAGATATATTTGGAGGATACAGAAATCTACAGTGATATTTGTAGCTAGCAAGAAACTTGGAGGTAAATTAAAGGCACTTTATCACAGATTCTATATAGCAATGGGCTGAAATAAAGAACCAGAGCACTTGTTAGGGTAAAAATAAAGCCCTGTGCTTGGTTTAAAAATAGAAACACTTGTATATTATAGAATGGGAAAAGATGTATTTGTCAGCAACAAGTTTGGAAGACATTTAGTGAATCCAGTTGGCTTATGATACAAGACATTCTGAGTTTAAGATGCCAAAACTCAACGTGGACCTTGACTTTGTTTTCACTGTCCTCCAAAGTCATGAGGCATCCTTGCAGGAAACTCTTAACTCACATGGTCAGCCTAGGAAAACCAGGAAATACGCAGTAGTCAACCATATCTTGGCCTATAATGGGTTCTATTCAAACATATTTGTTTTAGCTGCATGAGGTTTTTTAGTTGATATAATTTATAATTTTAGTTAAAGCTACTTATTTTAAGTTAATTGCCATTGATATCTTTTAAATACTATTTCTTCTATTCATCTGGTCTTGTAAGAATTTTCCCTTAAGCCATTTTAATTTTATTTTCTGTTACTCTGTTTTGAAATAGCAAGCATGAAGACAACTGCGCGGATAATCTACACACTAGGAGCCTGAGTTTCAAGGCATTTCCCCTTCCAGTTAGCCCTTCAGTCCCCACCACTAAACACCCTTTTCCCTCCCAAAATAAATGGCTTACAGTTAATATTAAACTCAGTTTGTGGCAGAGGATATATACATCTAAATAATTGTGATAAGTACATTTTCTTTACATGACGCAAATGCTTCACACTATAAAAATGAGAACGGTGGAATGAGACGCCTAGGAGGTGTTACATGAACACTAAATTCCAAGTCCCCAGGACTCTCAGCTCAGCACAGGAAGGCCACACTCTCTGGGACAACATGGATATATAAGTGAAGGTAATCTTCTACACTTCATACTTCCCAATTCCTTTAGGAAAAAAACATGATTAACGTCCACATTCTATACAACGGATAGGTATTACCCAAGTTACATGTACAGACCTGTATCCATTGGAAGAAACACAAGATCAAGATCACAAGCACAAGATCAAGAAAATGACCTCAGTTCAACCCTTTAGGTTTAAGTCACATAATCTAGAAACTCTGAGTAAGAATACTGAGAAGATACCCCATAGAGGGTCCACATTTGGTTGAGTGAAATCCCTTTCCCATCAGCTTGCCTGTGGTGGACATGTGTGGTTTCCAGCTGCCAGGCATCCCTACCCCCACCTTCTAGTAACAGCACTGATGTTTGTTTGAGAACATTTGTTGGGAACTCCCGCCCCACTGCATGTGGCTCTGGAGGGGCTGCCAACCCCAGTGCCATTCAGCACTAGCCACAGAGATGGCCCTGGCCCAGCCCCATCCGATGCCTCAGAATGGAAAGTCGGGTTACCCGTGCGAAACAAAACTTGGCCTCAGCCTTGTCAACGATGCTAAATTCTGAAAGACTGGTTCTCACACTTGTACCTATTTCAAGTATACCTGAGGATGTATCTGATGGGTGTTAACCAGCTAGGCACACAGTGTTGCCTTTAGCAGAAATGCTTGGCTGAGGAGTGAGAAGCGTGACCCCAAAGCCATCCTGTCAGAATTTCCAGAGAGACGTGAGGTTTGGAGACTCTGATACACTCCCCGAGGCCATCTAGTTTGGAAAGAAATAGTAAATGTTCATACATGGGCAAAGATTTAGAAACCCTGATACCTGATACCTCCCCAAACATCATAATTAAAGATATTTGCC